AATCGACGAATTCTACCGTTTAGTTAGATTAGACATATATTTCGTGTTTTGCAGCTTGCAATGATTGTGTACTCCACATATTTTCATAGATAGCTACACCTCCTTCGCGAATTTTTTGCCGTTTAAATTGCGATATAATAGGAATCCTTTTTATGTTACAATGTCGATGGTTTTCCAACCAAGTTTCACTCAAAACTAAAACCTTGCATTTTGTTTCTATACTATACTATATCATCCAAAACTACAATGTCACGCCGCGCAAATAAATTTTTACTATACTATAGTATGCGCGAACACGCCCTGCAAAATTCGACCGCATACTCAGCGCTAAAACATGATACATGTTAAAAGTTGGTTTGTGGACTATTCTAAATATTCTGCATCGCGTCGACAGAATTCAGACCTAAACAAAAAAAATAACATTGTAACTCCAAACACAGGATTTCCAAATTTCCGTTCACGATGAAATATAAATATATCATGCCATCTGACAATCGCTTTATTTCTAACATGTTTCCAGAATTTTTCAAATCAACTACTGTACTAATTCTCCCAAAATTTGTTCTATTATCAGAATGTGCCTTGTTCGAATACTTTCAATTCATCTTTTAATTACGGTCCAGATGTGATACCTTCATGCTTTCTCAAAAATAGTGCCAAATATATCCACTTGACTTTGACAAGGATATTTAATTCCTCCCTTAAACAAGGTATATTACATATAATCCCTTTGCATAAAAATGGATTTAGGGTATATGTTACATTGAAAACTATAGGAGTATTTCAAACCTATCAGTTATACCTAAACTTTTAAAGTTATTATCGCTGACTATTAACTTTCGATTTCTCCATTAATTTCTTCTTAGTTTGGTGTTCGTAAAGAGTTAAAAATGACTGGGCTTTAGGGAACATAAGCATACAGATATTAAATAAATATACTGACTTTAGCAAAGCCTTCAAAAAAGAAAATCTTTCCGCCAAGATTTCTTGGTATCTTCTTACCTTGATAATATTGATATTTAATGATACTCCTTCAGATTAAATTAAATGAAGTTCCGCAATTTAGTCATCTAGAACCGATTCTATTCTTATTTATTATCGATATCAAATTTTTTATTATATGATGAAAGGTGTCTGTTGAAATCGGACGCAAACTATTATATTATATTTCGTTGCTTGGTGTGATAGAAATAACTTGCCATTGAATCTCAAAAAAGAAAGAAGAAACGTATATATTCAAAAAAAAAATCAATTTATTCAAACTAAATCTGAGTTTAAAAACACAAGGCTTTACGTAAAAATAAAATATTAATAAGTCAAAATATTATTTTAAGTTATTACGGAAATGATAATAATATTAAGGCTACATAATCATGTTTATCGAGGACATTTTTTACGTATGTATTGAATTTCTTTTGTGAATTTTCCGCATACGATATTTTTACAATACATACAGCAATTACTGCTTTTATTTTTTATTACAATAGCCCACTTGGCAACTTTTTCGCACTGTTGAGTGTGTCTGATCTGAAACGTCTGAACTGTGACGAATGTTCTCCTTGTTTTCTCCAGCTAAAGAAAATATAAATTCCCTTCTGGATATTTTTGATCCGGTACACTCTACAATACAATATCCAAATATTATAAAAAACTTAAAGAGATCATCGAAAACACCCTGCTTTCACACTATATTTAATATATATTTATACATGTTTCATAATATTAGCGTCAATTATGAATTCAAAGGCACTAGTTACACAACCCGACATAATATTTCTTTTTGCGTAACCAGTAGGCCCTGCGATATCCTTTAATATAGTATGAACAGGCAGCCTACTTATATATTTCCCTGCTTTCAGTCTCACCCACGGTGTCAGAACTAGAAATAATGCGTGCCCTTTTCTTGTTACGACGTATATTGAAAAAGTTTTCCTCTTCATTACCTGAGGATCCTTCTATTTCTGCAGTTTCAGTGGGCTTAGTTTTTTTTAGGTTATATTATATCTCGTGTTTTACTCATGATTTCTAGAAAAGGGTAATCAGTAAAGTCTTATATTTGCTATTGGAGATATAATTTCACAAGCGAGGATTGTTTACGTAATCAGCTAACCCGTCAATTTGACGGTAGCCGACATGTCGTGTCTACGTAACCAGAACGGACCCGGATTTATTCCGGCCAAGGACTGTCAACTCGGCAGAATTCTGCCGCTACAACAACAACAACGGGTCCGTAGAGATAGGTATACCACATATGAATCTTAAAAAGTAGAAGGTATAGGGGGAGGAAACTGTATGTATAAATTCTTTAGAATAAATGATTAATTTACGATGCAAACCGGTTGAAATCGATTGAGCGGTTTTCGAGATATTTCATTATAAAGTTTGAGTTCCATCAAATTGACGGGTCCCGTAAACCTAGAGTGTTAAGACGATGTGCTTTTCCCGTAGATCAGTGCACCTTTCTCCTTATGTAATGTAATAAAAAATTGTAGATTAAAGCAAGTTGTTAACATTGTGGGTTCGAGAGTTACTATGGACTCTAAGCTTACTTTTAGTCTTCATATTGATACCATGATTTTGTTTGCAAAAGGTGTTCTCAGTTTTGTTAAACGTTGGTCTAAAGAATTTAGAGATCTGTATGTTACTAAAACTTTTACAACTTTGGTTAGGCCTATATTGTATATGGCTAAGTGGTATAGAACCCTAGTTATCTAATCCATTCTGACAAGTCTGTTAAAAAACCATTTTTATTTTTCGCCTTAGGGCATTTCAGATGGGATACTAGGCTAAGTATACCTCCATACAAGTATACACTCGCTGCTTAAAACTTATAAATCTATCCACACCTACTACTCGTAGAAAAATGCTTCGCGAAATATTCTTAGTAAAAATTCTGAATGGAACAGTTTACAGTTCTTTTCTCTTGTCTGAAATTAAATTTAATATCCCGGTTCGCTTTTCGAGGTTTATGAGTTTAGACCTTTATTGTTAAAATCGTTGAGATCAAATTTTGAACTTAACGAAGCATTCAACTCACTTTTCAAAATTAAAGATCCTATATAGCTTTCTCTTAATAAATAAAATCGTAACAATTAATTATAACGTAATTTAAATCTTAGCTGTTGAAATTATTGTTTCTGTAGCTCCGCAGTTTTAGATCTCGACGCTTAAAAAACTCTTTTGGTCTCGTCTCATGGCGCGGCTAATTCCGAACGTATGCGGTTTCCGTCCCTCGCGTCGGTTGGGCGGGAGGAATGTAAAAGATGGGTTATTATTATTAATAATGTTATTATTAGTGTTATTATTCAAATACTCTGCTAAGGATGTACCGAAGATTAAAATGTCGTTCATATAACGGATACATGTCTTATTTTGTCTAGCGATCTCCTTTCCGAAAATTTGAGGAAACATAGTGCGATCACTCGGGGGTCCACCTTGGGTCTTTAGAACAGCTTTTAATTTATTTTTCATTAAAAAAATATTATTTTTGTATAATTTTTAGAGATGTGTTCTATTAAGGAGATTGGAGAGGAGAATGAAGCTGATGAGGCACGTAAACAATAACGTACGTCATTGTCCTATTGGAAGTATCTGTATTTTATCTGCGTTGCTTTAAATTGTTTTTTAATAAAATGAAGAATAGATCGTGTGATGTAAATCAATTGTTCAGGGGTGTTGTGGAATCCAGATTTGCGTAGTTGTCAGAATTGCAAACCAATTCTGATTTGGAATGGTGTCACAGAATCTGATTGGATTTGCGTCTTTTCGAACATATGCAAAACCAATATTCGAATCAGTTGTTTACTAATGTGACAAAATTTGCAAATGAATAAATTAGCAAGCGTTTTATAGATTTGAAATGCTGAATGAAGTCTACAAAAGTTTACATTGAGTTCCGCTATTTCAGCTTTTATTTTATTTGAAGAAAAAAAGCAACGAAAAAAAATAAAAGGAATATATTAAAAGATCACAGTAATCCACTTGATGCACCAGAGGAGTCGCATGTGAAATTTGGGTTGCATTTACTTGTATGTTTGTATACATGCTTACTTTACAGATTTATATCACACTATCGACTGAATAAATACGCATTTGGGTGTTAAGTTACGGTTGTTACGTTTTGTAAATTCTCTTAAAATATCTTGATTCTTTCCATAAACTCGATAATTATAACATTTTTTGTTTTATTCTCCAAAAAAGCCCTTCCCTGCTATCCTGGCTATGAAATTTAATGATTGTGGCTCTTTTATTCAGTAAGTTATCGAACTTTTAGTAATTTTGAACATAACCGTTATATGGGTAGTGGGCGTGGTTATTATCTGATTTTTTCCCATTTTCACAGTGTATAAAGAAATGCTAAAAAGACCTCTTCCAGCGAGCTTGGTTGAGATAGCTTCAGTGGCTTGGAAGATATGTACATTAAACCTATTCGAGGGCGTGGCCCACTTTAAAAAAGTATTAAGCTTTCGAACAAATAATAGTTTGCATCTTAATTTAGTTATGCCACTTTATAGGTTTTTGTTAAATGGGGTTTTGTGGGCTATACTAAGAATACTAGAAACTAAAAATTTTGATTTTTAAAAATATGACGTATGACGGAATAAAAATATTTTTAAACTTAAACTTTTAAAATGGTAGTCAAAAATTCTAAATAAAATGTTATTGTTTGTGTTTACAAATTGTATGATTAAATGATGGTAGCTTATTGTGAAATTTATATCAGAATTCATTTGATGTATTAGGGGATTTCAACACAAAGGTATTTGAAAGTACATATAATTTTTAGAGCATCATCAAATTTGAAAATATTTTACTTAAATATAGCCTTTCTTAAATATAATTTGTTCTTTAAATATAAAATTTTTTTTTTTTAACATAAATATATAGAGTATGTTTAGTTATATATGTACATGTTTATATTTAAAAAAAAATTAATAAGTTAAATTTTTACCAAACTCTTACGTGAAGTTTATTGATAACGATTTTATGTTTATTTGCAGCCACAAATTGTAAACCCACAGTATCAAATATAGGAATATCATTTCATAGGAAGCAGCACTGTGATGCCGCTACAATTATAATATGAAGTATTCGCGTGCTTTTGAACACTGGAGGACGAAACAAAAAAATTTAAATGTATAAGGAAAAATGTGTTGCAATTAAAGTTTATCATAAGTAAAAAAAAATAATATCCATTATTATTATCCATTATACATTGAGAATTCAAAACTAATATGTGACGAATCATATACATACACATCTAATAAAAGAAATTAATAAAACGTAAGTTAATTAATTCATTAAAAATGCTATTGCATAATGTTGGCTGGAATACTTAATAGAAAAGAAATTACTCAAATTCTAAAACGAATTATAAAGTTAAGGTAAATCATATTCATTATATACCTATAGTCTTTATTGGATTTTGTTTTGATCATAGGCGAACGAACAATGTTGGACTATAAGTGCGACTGTACAGCTGTATTATGTATTGACACCACCTTTTTATGGTACAAATATGTCGAATTCAAGCAACCGCCTAAGACTATTCAGTATTTTTTGAATAAAATAGCGGCAACAGGAATATACCAAATAATTAACGAATTTTCTGTAATTGTATACATCTCTGAAAATAAGGGCTAAATACACGGACAAAGGGATAAGAAATTTTCGGATAAAAGTAGATGAGGTAGTTAATCTGAAGTGTATTCTACTCGACGTCTACTTTACCAAATGTTTACCGATATTTTTCAGTGGAGGGTAGTGTTAATCCAATCGAAAATAGTATTAGTATAGCGGGGTACCAGTGTATGAAGAGGCAAAACATTTACCAAAATATCACTCCCGCAACATCATCGGAAAATCCACACAGCAAGCGTATCTAAAACAAACCAAAGGAATAGTAGTACAAAAGAGACGAAAACCGTGAGTTTTTCGCAAAATTACCTATGAACAGAATTCTCTACAAAATATATATTAATAGTTTTTTCCTAAGAGCCACCATTTTGGAGATATAACGCTTTAAAAAGGGGCCTGCTGTGATTCTATTTGTTTTAAAACTACTGCAAAATAGTATCATTCATAAGGGTTGGTAAAAATGAAGCCGGTGTAATAAAAAAGACAATAGCTAAATTTATTCGCCGGATTCATAGTTTTCAAATAATTCTGCTTCTTATTCTCGTTCTTCCTCTTGTTATTCTTCTTCTATCACACTTTGGGTGCAAGTAAACTGCTCCAATAGCGATTCCTCATCGGTGTAATAGAAGTTCTCAACAGTTGGTGACTCAACATTAGAGCTCGACCGGCCTTGACAATGTATGCAACTTATTTTTTAGCCCGGCCGCGAAATGTTTTTAAAAAGAAAACAAATTAAGCCGTTACTTCAACTTTATTCAGACATGCTTACGGAACCGCCTTCTTACAGAAAAAGCCTCCCTTATTTTACACTAAAGCCTATTTTTACTATTTATTATTGTTTATTTAATATGAATTTCATTATTAGATGAAATTCTTTAACCTTGAGTCTATTGGATTGCGATTTAGTTATTATTAAGAATTTTATACCGAAATCTGTTTACAAATAGTGATTGGCGATTGTTATTGCCTAGAGTTAACTCCCCCACCTCTAAGTCGAAGCGTCCCGTCTTCGAATATAATGCTGTTAAGTGGTTGATTTGATTTGACAACCTCAATAATTTTTCTTCTTTTTCTTTAGAATTTTTTAATTGAATTTTGAGAAGTAATGTATATAAAAAATTTATAAACAAAATAAACCAATAATGTCATTAACGCTATAATAGTAATTGACCACCAAATGGGATTATTGTTTATTTCCCGTTTTAATGGTGTAAGTATATTGAAGTTGTTTAATCTCAAATCTACATTTTTGTTTCAATATATTCTTTTATAAAAAATGTTTTAAATTTTCCTTATTTTAAATGATTAATGATTTTTCCTGTTGGGTTTTCATATATTTTACTATCAATTGTTACATTATCTTGAAAAGTTACCAAATAAACTCCGTTTATTATGTTATTATTAACTTTATGTTTTCCAGATACTACTATCGCTCCATCTTTCATAATTTTTATAGACTCATTTTTTTCATTAATTTTTGTACAATTAGCATGCTTATTATTTAAAATATCAGACAAACATGTATTATTTGCTTTTATCATACAAAATGCATTATTCAATTCATTTTTACAAAGTTTTACGGAATACAATTTATCTTGACATTTTATTATTTCATTTTCAATAAATAATTTTCCATCGCTTTGTGCGACAGCTATTGCTTTAAATAATTTACATATGTTTTTTACTTTTGGATAATTAATGTAAATAACTATTAAATTGTTTTTTTGTGCAATTTTGAAATCTGATACATCCATAAGATCTGATATTGATACATTAATTTTTTCTTCGTTTATTTTTTCTTTTTTTTCTGCCATATCTAAAATTAATGTATTAAATGTCCCTACTTTTGACAATGCAATTGTTTCTACTGTGTTTTCAAGTTCATTTATTATTAGTTTATTCCTTTGTCTTAAAACAGTTTTTTCATTAGAGCTACCTTGTAATTGTTTTAATATTAGGTAAAGTAAAAAGTTCGTTCGGTTTTTTATTGATTTTTCAAAAGATGATAACTTTGTGTGCATTTATCCGATTTAAGTCAAATATGTTCCGTTTTGTTCATAAACTTGTTGCCAACGAGATGCCAACTTCATTATACCCCTCTCGTAGAAGGCTGCGTCCCTATTGGCAAAAAACTCGGAGAGCCAATTTTCACAGGCCTCTCTTGAGGCTAACTTCTCACCAATAAGCGCGTTCGCCATGGACAGGAAAAGATGGTAATCACTTGGTGCCAGGTCCGGACTATAAGGTGGGTGCATTAGGACCCCCATCCGAGCTCCCGGAACTTCTGGCGCGTCACCAAAGACGTGTGTGACCTGGCGTTGTCCTGATGGAACACAATTCGGCCTCTGTTGATCAAAGATGGCCTCTTCTGGATGAGTGCTGCCTTCAAGCGGTCCAGTTGTTGGCAGTAGAGGGCCGAATTGAGCGTTTGGCCATATGGGAGCAGCTCGTAGTAGATGATTCCTTGTCAATCCCACCAAACACACAGCAGAACCTTCCTGGCCTTCAATCCCGTCTTGGCCACCGTCTGGGCCGCTTCCCCAAGCTGTGACCCCGACCATTTGCGCTCGATGTTGTCGTAAGTGACCTATTTTTCATCGCCAGTCACAATCCGCTTCAGAAACGGGTAAATTTTGTTGCGATTCTGCAGCGATTTGCAGATGGAAATTCGGTCCATCATGTTTTTTGCGTTAGTTCGTGTGACACCCAAACATCGAGCTACTTTTTGAATCCAAGGTTATGCAAATGGTTTCAAACGGTTTTCTGGCTTATCTTTAGTTCCTCAGCAGTTAATAAGTTGCTCATGGCGGTCTGTTCCACTATTCCATGATTTTATCGCAATTTTCGACGACGGCCTCCGACCGTGTGCAGTTTTGACATCGAAATTACCGGAACGGAACCTAGCAAACCACTTTTGTGCTACACGTTCGTTTACAGTATCGGGCCCATAAACTAAATTAATGTTTTCAGCCGCTTTGGCTGCTTTTTCGCTTGGATCGAAGAAAAATTGTAAAATATAGCGAATTTTCTCTTTGTTGGTGTCCATCTTTGACGAGCGCTCACAACGAACTGAGTAAATCAATCGAAAAACTGTCAAAGACAAACTTTTAGCGCGAATAAACACGTTTTCAGCGCCCTGTAGTATGACATGATGCGACACGTAACACTAATACTATGGACAATAACGCCATCTCTTAGATAAAAACCGAACGAACTTTTTACTTTACCTAATATTTGAGTTAATTCCGTAATGGTCTTAAATAACTGTGAATTAGTTGTAAATTCTTTATTATTATTTTCTATTAAATCATTTACTTTATTTGTTATTTGCATAAAATCATCATGGTCAGGTGTACCTGTAATCCATTTCCAAACTGTCCAAAGCTCATTGATACCTTTTTTTTGATCTATTATCAATTTTTAATTTTTTGAATACTATTTTCTCATCGATTCTATAGTTTTTTATAATGTTCTCAAATAGCGATAAATTAGTCAAATGATACAGTGATCCATAATTTTCAAAAATTGCTGCATTTTCCTCCTCTATTAGTATATATTGTTCCCTTGTATAATCAATTATATCTGATGTGATAATTGTAGCATACAACATCAACAATAAAATTTGTTTATGTGTCCGCATTGTTTCTATAAAATTATAAAATTACACTTTAATATTATCCTTATGAATAATTCTGTTTCTGCTTTGTATTTTAACCCCCTTCCTCTATTACTATTTGTTTTTTATATTTGGCTTAATTTATTTCTTTCCCATATATTTTTCATATATAACTTCCCCTCTATGATAACTTTTTAAATCCGTTTTTATTGGTACTTCAACATTTTTTAATATTTCTCTCATATTTCCATGTGCTTCTTTGTTAAATAAAACATTATAAGGGTTTTTATCTGTTACCGAGTGTACTGTTCTGTTATACTGCTGAACTGCCCCCATAATTAATTCGTAATCACTTATCAAATTATGTTCTTTCTTCAAACATCGAGAAATCTCCACCAGTGTCGAATGAACCCTTTCTACTTGTCCATTGCTAGTACTGTGACGTGGTGCACAATAATAAATTTGTATATTAAATCTTTCCATTAAAGACTTGAACTGTATCGTACTAAACCCCGGTTCGTTATCTATAACTATATCTTTAACATCTGGAAATGTCTGCAAAAGTTCCAAAACCTTATCTTCTAAATTTAGTTTATCTTAAACACTTGATAGCAAAATATTTGGAATAAGAATCCAAACACGTAATAAACTTTAATTTTTGTGCAAAAATATGTCAATATGGAGTTGTTCTCCTTCGTTTTCTGGTATTGGTGCTTCACCTATTGGAATCAATTTCGGATGCCTTTCATACTTATTACTATTACATATATTACAATTTCTCGCATATTGCTTCAATTGTTTACCATTAACGGCCAATAATATTTTGTCTAATTTGAGCCAAATTTTCTCTATAATTTCTATGTGCTCTATTATGCGTTTGCTCAATAATTGCCCCTGATCCTCTCTAGTAGTCACATCATTAGCGAATAACTTTGTATAAAAATTTTATCGCTGGAAATGCTTGCCTTAACAAATTTTTGTTTCATAAAGCACTTGAGGTGGCAGTGTATTCCCGTAACTATTTTGGATTTATATATTCTTTCCAATTATATTT